AACAAAATATTCATCTGTAGGACACAATTGTGCACAGGCATCTGTTGAGTTTGGCCGATCTCCACTACAGCCTTTATCATCCCAGCCAAAAGTTGTTTTGAAAGGCTGGTCTTTGTGGATTTTTTTTCTTCTTTATATAAAAATAAAACAATATTTCAGGCAGCACATCTTGGTCAGTGACAGAACCCGAGTCACTGAGTGCTCTCATGATACGAACGCATTCATAGAGGTGGGTAAGGAAACAATGAGGAAAAAAATGCCATTGTGGTTGTCATGGCAACCAGCTGAAAGACCTGCTGCTTTTATAACATATGTCTGACTTGATTTGGGTGTGCACAGTAGAATCACATATTTTATTCTCTGCAATGCAAGAGCCGAATCCAATTGCATTCCTCCAGACTTCATCAATACAATCAACCACACAATAAATAACTAAATAAATAAACAACCACCTTATTTTTCCCAAAAGCGAGGGTGCGGCCATTTGTAAATTTTATGGGTGTGGCTTTCGGTCTCATCAGCATCCTGCTATTTTTAGCTGTACAAAACAGCTCGTTTTGCTGCTTGATATTGCAAATTAGTGTGTCTTACCATATTATTTTAATATTTTATCTTAATTATGAGCACACTGGTTTATAGTGCAAACAGTTTTAACTTTCTGCACATTGTTGTTGTTATTCTTGTTGCGCTAATGAACCGGAAGTCTCGCCCATAGGCTTTACTTCTGCGTTCAAGAATAAGGTGTTTACAGAAATGTAAACGAGAGGTGAAACTGCACTGAAAAGCCCCCTGAATTCCTCGCTGCTGCAGAGGAGGCTCAATGACACATTTTGGAATCAACTGCTTTGAGTGAGTCATGTCAACGCATTAGTATGCAAACAAGTTTCTGGTGCAGTAATTCATCCCAAACAAACACTTGAATAGGATTTATCAAGTAGAAATACTGACTACCGCGTCTTGACGTGAAGAAAATGTTGTGTATTCTGGTACACTCTGGTGCTTCTCTAATTGAGGGAAGGCACCTATCGAACCCCATTCCGAACGCCACGCGCGGCTCCGTAGTCCTTTGCAAGTCCGCGTTGCTATGGTAACTCCACCAACCCCCCCTCCCCAAATGCTGCAGGCCGCGTGGAGCACTCTGAAGAGTGAGTGTGAGAGAGAGAGAGAGAGAGAGAGAGAGAGAGAGAGAGAGAGA